GATATGGAAAAAGAACAGCAAGACACCAGTCTGTGGGGGGGGGGGGGTTCACAGTTAAACACACACTCTGTCCCTCATGACGACAACTAACACGGTTAAAACGCGTGTCAAATTAAACTGAACAAATCTACTCAAAGCCTCCTGTTTAGGTCAATGATTTGTGTTACTGGAGTACCTCATTGATTTATCAGTGAGGCAAAAAAAAGACACGCACGACATACCTCTGCGATTTGTGTGAAGGTGGTCTGGGGATATCTGGGGATGAGCAGCTCCTCGGTGTCCTTCAGGTAGGCCACCTGCATGTAAACATTGAGCCAGGAGATGGGAGTCTGTGGGCTGAGACTCCACTTCAGCTCCTGTGGTAGAAACGGAGAGAAAGAGCAGACAAACCTGCAGTGTTGGAGTAAAACAGCAGATTGGAGATTGCTTCTGTGATATTTATAGGATTGATGTGTGCACGTTCTTTACCTTCATTATAATGATTTCCATACTGAGAATCTCATCTTCGGTGCAGGCTTCGTCTGTAACATAGGCAAACTGGTGGACTTTGGGAGGATACATCTCCTGGGGGATGGAGAAAAAAAAAGGAGATGAGCATTATTACAACCAATCAAACCACATATTGTAAAATGTTTGTAGAAGAAAGAAGTATAGCAACTATGATGAAGCTCCTAAAGCAAGCTAGCCCACAACACAGACCAGACAGAACTGCAGGCTACGCAACAACCAGAGATTTGTACTTTGTCGTCTCACTCTGTGCGTCTCCAACACTTCTTACCTCTACTTTGGCAGCGATGAAGAGACAGGTGATGCCGATGAGCTGCAGTGTTGACTTGAAGACGTTTCTCTGCGTGGCCATGAAGCGATCGAAGTAGTCCTGGGCGAGGTGGTATGACTCCCTGTGCAGTTTGTACACCTCACTCACCTAAAACATGCACACAAACAGGACATCAATGCACGCACGCGACTTCAAACCATATTCACCGGTAGGTTCGCATAATAGAGTGCACTATGGACATTAAAAAGGCATCAGGACGGTCACAGTAATGATGGAACATCATGTCATTGTCTCAGGGAAAGCTTTATTGCTTTATTGTTTCTTGGAACAGCCATTTATATCCCTGCCAACTACCGTCTTTCCTATTTTATACTCCTTTACTGAGCCAGGAGCAAAGATTCAGAAGAGGTGAAGACAGAGGAAACTCTAAGCTGTGAATGTGTTGCTTAAAAAGGAGTTACTTGTGTATCTTGTCTTACCATCAATATTTAGAAATGTCACAAATTGCTTCCATGTTGTACATTTTGACAGTATGACTTACAATGTTTAGAACTCAGTGTGTTTTTCCTCACTGCCACACAGGGGACTCTTTCGTGCTACTTGACTGAAAGTTTAAGAGCCTCGTGTTGTTGTCATTGTCGTTTGCACGAGCACGAGTTAGTTCTACAGTCATGAAACTTAGTGTGAGGTTCTGCTTGTTTAAACTGAACACATGACAGTCAAATGAACCATAATGTGTAAGTCAGTAGATGGTTATGCAGCATTTACTCCCCCCCCCCCCCCAAAGCTGAAACTACCAGCATTACATGCTTTGTTTACAATGGTGTTGTCACAAAGAGAGATGTTGAACTGGTCAATAAGACACACGCTACAGACCTCCATGAGCCAGTCCAGGAGAACTGCCCTCATCTTGGGCTGCAGATGAGGATGTTTGTCCATCACGTGGACGTCCCTGGTGTAGGTCTTATCCTTCTCCAACATGTTGTTCCACACGACATCCTTACTGGCCCAGCTGAGAATAAAACAGAGATGGACAGCATGGTTAAAAATGGATGATACAACAATCACTTGCATTTGAAGTAGGATGTTCCTTGGACAGTCAGATACATTGACTACGAGATCAAAAGAAAAGATGGAGTTGACACTTTTCAATCTAGTTCCTACAGGGCTGTATTTTAGCCCTAGTTAAGGAGGTAGTGATTAAAAAAGGCAAAAAGGAGAAAACTACTAGCCACAACTACAGAAAAGGGAACGCAGTGAAAGAAGACAAGCTAAGCTTTGGCAACAGGCTGAGCTTAATTTGTCTCCCGTGTGTGTGTGATTAGGTAGAACCGGTGGCGGCATGATGTGGAGCCTAACCTGAGAAAATCAACAGTACTCACCACAGTGCAGGAAGCGGTGCGCAACGCACGGGTGTTACAAACACATTGTTGAAGTTGTAGTGGGGGAAACCCACGTTTATCAGGGCGACTGGTTGGTCCTCTTCCTGATCAGGTGTGGGGATCCACCTCTGGGGACTTGTGTAACTGGCATCGGGACTCCAGTCCACCTTCACAGGAGAGAGAGGGGAGAGCAGAGTGATGACACACAGAAAACGTGGAGGGTGAAGTCACAGTACTGAAACACGTTGCGGCAGAGGTAAACTCTGTGTTAAGCTGACTGCGAACATTGAATCCTGATAAGAAACTACAGACACACATCTAGCAAGAGTGGAGAGCTAGTTGAGGCAGCAATAACAACAGATCGGCAAATAAGTACCCTTGGAATGAGCAATCAAGTTCATAGTTGTGTTGCATTTGATAGAATACAAACCAAGAAGTAAAAATGCCACTGGGCCACGGATACGTTAAGAGAACCAAGGCGCTGGTAGAGACTTTACCGAAGGTGGAAAGATCACAAAGCATACCTCGCATTCACGCTGCTTCTTCTTCGTCATCGCTGCTACCTCCTCATCCACATCCTGTAAATACTGGAGGATAGGAAAAGGAGGACATTCATTTATCGTGTGTGATTCAGATCACAAACCTCACAGAGCTGGTTCGGTCAAATCACAGAAATCCTGTTCAGTGTTTGGCTTCATAAGCGAACAATATATAAAAAAAAACGCAAAACTATGCAGTAGTCATATGCAATACAATATCAGCTGCATCAATCAGTTATACTTCACTTAGTGGCTAGCAATGATGATTATATGTAACAGCAGTTTTATATTTGAGTTATTCAAGTAGGCCCTACTTGGCCCTAACCTAGCCACGGCTAAGTTGCTGTGTCGGCCACTTCTCGGCTCGTCTCCAAGCCTTTTCACAACAATGTTACTTACAATGGCAACATCTGCCTTCCTCTTTCTCGGTCGTACTGTAGTTTCTGTCGGCGCCTCGGGAGCAACAGACGTCGGTTCTGTCTCTTCCCTGTAAACGGCACAGAAGAAACACGTACAAGCCGTAAGTCTCCAGAGTTGACACAAAACACTTTAACAAGTTTAATATGTGAATGTGGCCAAAATAAGATCCCATAGCATCGAGCTAACTAGCCGGATGGCTAAAGCTCCATCCACTCAACTTTGCTTTTCTGTCGTCACAGTCACACACTTTGATTGACGCGCTTTAAAAGAGCCATGAATGAAACAAATACGAAACTCACCGTTTTCCTCGCATTATATATAGTTGGGGTATGTGTCCGTTTTGGAGTAAACCTGTGAATGAGACATGTTCGAGTTATATTTTAGGGTTTAAAACAAACATTTAATTCACTCCCAACCCCCACTCTCAACTCCCTCCTTCTGACAAAGCCCAACGCAGCCTGGCGCGGGGAAATGGAAACGGTACTCGGTGTTAAAAGTCGCGAAAAAGAGCACCACACAACACAAGTACACTCCTGAAACTAACCACCGATTAACATCAGACACTATGTTAACTGCTCAACGTTGTTATTTCGCGTATTTTTAAGGGTAAGCTGGTTATTTCCCCCCAATAACTTTGGACAGCTGGCTCGCCACATAATGGCCTAACGACAGGCACAGCTGAGGCGGCCTGTGTTGTCTCAATTCACCGTTTAACAGCGACAACACCGAACACCCGGCTTGAAACAATGTGTCGTATAAAGTGTGAACATCCGAACAAACCTTTAACTCATTGTCCAACTTGTTGCGGTGTTTGGTTAAGTTAGCATTTAAGTCGGAGCAGCTACAAAAAGTTGCAGCTCGACATAGCTTACTCGACGGTAAACGTAGCGTTTCAACCACTCACCTCAAGATTCCGCCCTTGAAGTTCACTCTTACCCACGTCTTAAAAACAAATATGGATAGTGTGTAACTTCACGGACTTGTTGCTCAGACTCGAGGGTGCTCTTTCTCTCTGTCTCTCTCTACTTGTGTGTGTGTGTGTGTGTGTGTGTGTGCATCCAGGCCGGGCTAGTTCCTCTGAGCTGGCGCCTTGTAGAGAACAGATGACTTGAAGCGTCAACGTCAGAGAGGAGTGGATTTAACTTGGCGCTAAACCTCCAGCTCCACCGCCTCTTTATGCTCCAATTTCCACTCAATTAACCCCAGTTTCGACTCTATATCGCGTGCAGAGCACGTAGTTTATATATATAGTGGGCGTATATTGCGCTAAATAAAAGGAAAAATACGTTTATAAAGTTAGCAAAACGAGGAGGCGGGCCGCTACGGTGACAGCTGCAGGGGGCGGGGCTTCCAAAGAGGAAGTGCCCGGGAACCGCGTGGCTAGTCTGTCGGATGTAAACAAAGCCGTAGTCCTTGTGATTAAATCTAAAATAAAGATTAACGCGACCGAATTATGGCGAAGTAATATGGCCTATTCGTTGTGTGGACTTCACGCGTTGTTGTCTCTCACTGTCACCGTAGGCGCATCTGTTATTTAGCTAAAAATCAGCAATGTTAGCCCGCCGATGCTTCTGCCGGGTTAGGGCGCCCATTTCCAGCATGGGTCGCCGTATCTATACGTCCCCACCGCAATCACGTAACGTAAACCCTTTTTTCTATTAACGAACTTGATGCAGTGAAAAAATGTTTTTAATCCAGTTGCAGTGCGGTAATGTAAGAGAAACAATTGTTTTCTGCACTATCTTTTGGAGACTGTTTATTATTTAAATCGTTTTTTGTTTGATTTACTAAAATTGACCCTTGGCCAGTCATGTGATCCCCACGTTTAGAAAGACGAAAACAATTTTTTTTTTTTTCCTTTTTCTGCTGTCTGGTTGCTCCACAAAACGGGATCATGAAGTTTTTGGATCTTTTTGGACGCCTAAAACCCGTGGTTATTGGAATGGTTCATGTTAAAGCCTTACCAGGTAAACTAAGACTGCACTGACCTGTGTCCTTCAATGTTCAAATGTAAATTTTGCAGTGGCAGAGGAAGTATTCAGTTGCCTAACTCAAGTAAGCAGCAAAACCACACTGTAAAAAAACTGTCCTGTAGTTTTGTGTGGCAAATTTGTAAAGTAACTAACTATTTACTATAACAAATTAACATAGCTGAGTAAAAACCTACAATATTATCTTTAAAAAGAGGAGTAAAAGTGTGAAGTGGAATGAAATGGAATAACTCAAGTAAAGTACAATTTGTACTTGAGTAAATGTACTTAGTTGCATTGCATCACTGCATATTTTGGGAGCTATAATTTCTGATATCTCAGGAACCCCCCTGGGCTGCATGAAAATGTCCCAAATCACTGAAGAAGCATGCAGGGAGGCAGAAATCTACCGTGATGCAGGGATTGTAAGTCATATCACATTGTGTGAACATTCTTTACACATTTTAAAGTCTTCCAGGGCATGCCGGTGACCATTCCCCGTAAACCCCTCTCTCAGGATGGCGTGATCATTGAGAACATGCACGATATCCCGTACACCTTCTCTGTGGGCCCTGAGGTGTCCGCCTGTATGGCCTCAGTATGCGCTGCTGTGAGGAGCGTCTGTCCTCGCCTGCCGCTCGGAGTGCAAATACTGTCTTCTGCCAACCAGCAGGCCCTGGCCGTAGCTCTGGCTTCAGGTTCAGTCTTTACATCAGTTACATTGTTGTTGTGCTGTGTATGAGGCTACAAAAGGTCAAAGGTCAGCCACTTGTGTGTCACACTTGGTAAGGTCGGTAGGACAACCATAGTATTGTAATGTCACTGTGTGGTCACAGGTCTGGATTTCATCAGGGCGGAGGGTTTCGTCTTTTCTCACGTGGCCGATGAGGGTCTCCTGAATGCCTGCGCCGGGGACTTACTGAGATACCGCAAGCAGATCGGAGCTGAGCATGTGCAGATCTTTACCGACATCAAAAAGAAGCACAGGTGAGATCGCCATCTGTACAGATTGAATAGTAAGTCAAACCTGATGAGCCACTGATATGCAAAAAAGGCCTGAAAGCATATTTGACACTTCATATCTCTGTAGTGGTTCACTTGGAACTACTTTTTCCTCTCATGATACTGACATAATTGGCAACGGCAGGACTGACTGCTGATCCATTCCCGTTTACTGCTAGTAGATGAAGATTCATAGCAATTGCTTTGAACTTGACAAAGTTCGTCAGTAGTTTGCTTGACCGTGGCTGTCGATTGGGTCGGGCAGGGTTTTAAATTTGTAGTTTAAAAAAAAAAAAGAAATCACATCAAGGCCCATATTTGTCAAACTGCTGAAAGTAAAATTAAGTTTATGTTTAAAGTACAAATCCTTCATTGGTACTCAAAAGTAAGAATAAAACATATCTGTCATTTCTTTTGACTTCAAAATATGCTCTTAAATTTAAGAGAGTTCCAATGGTTAAGGTGCGTACCCTATAACCAAAACGTCCCTGGTTTCATTTGATTCTCCTTATTTATATATCGTAAATATATTACTTTATTTGTTAATTGCTAATGTAGAAATATGAAGGATTCCACACAAATATATTGACTAAGTAAAGAAATAAGAAGTCATATAAGACTGTGGGACAGACTGACGGATTGATGTAAACCTGGTGTCCAGACTTAATCTCGGTTTTGTCCCAGACTAGTTTTGCGCCGCCTGTGCATAATTGTGCATACTGTGTCGTCCCCAGCTCCCATGCCCTGACGTTGGACGTGAGCATCGAGGAGACGGCACGTGCCGCAGAGTTCTTCCTCTCAGATGGACTCATCGTCACGGGAGCGGCCACTGGAGCGCAGGCTGACCCGCGGGAACTTAGAGGTAAGCGCCGCTTAACAGCTTCCTACTCCGTTTAACCAGGAGCCATGTGAATGCTTTGATTAGATTGATTCAACATTTATCTTTTCAATGAATCATTTGGTTTGTAGAAAGTTAAAGTTAAACTAACCAATTAACAATAACACACCACGAGAGAAGATTGTAACTCTTGAGATTTGCTAATGTTGCTCCATATCTACTGGATGTGTTCTGTTTGCTGGTAGGTTTGTCATATCTACTTCATAAGGTGTATAATATGTCAATATGTTCACAGCTTGTTGGCCTACAAAACCAATCAGCTATAGTTACTTTGGAGATTAAGATTTACATACAACACATGGTTTTTACAAAGTCTGATCCAAAAACATAAGACTACTTTTACTTTTGATACTTTAAGAACATTTAACTTCTGTAAAAAATAATTTTCAATGCAGGACTTGGAGTAAGTTAGTATTTTTAAATTGTGGTATTGCGACTCACACTTATCTAAATACCTCTTTATCCAATACTATTATACAAACTGGCCCCTCTCACATTGTTACGAGTACCTGCACTTTCAATACTTGACTGCGTTTAGCTGGTATTACTTCTGTACTTTTACGTTAGTACATTTTTTTAGCTTTACTTGTAATGGAGTATTTTTTACATTGTGGTGGTCTACCAGAATTAGTCAGTGGGTCTTGAATCCGACCATGCCCGTCTCATAGCAACACCAGGGCTGCTATTTTAAACAGTCTCCAACACGACATACAAGACTGTCAACACTTGGAGCTAAACAGGCACTCAGCCTGGGTTAATGCACGCGACGCGAGTGTATGTGTGTTGACACACACACACACACACACACACACACACACACACACACACTCCCCCATCTCCTTCTCTTTCCCTCACACACACACGTGCACTCTCTATCTCGGTAACACAAATATCTGACACTGGTCAGACAGAATGATACTGGAGCTCACATGTCAGTGTGGAGGTCAGCCCACTCCTCTGTCCAAAGTTCACCGGGTGTATCACAGCCTCTCTTGGTTTAGGCTCCTCTGACTGTGAGTGATATATATATATATATATATATATATATATATATCTGTATATATATATATATAGATATATATATATATATCTATATATATAGGGCAGCATAAACTTTGCTACAACAATAAATACAAACAATAGAAACAGACAAATACAACTGTGACACACTATAAAGGGGGAAACAATATTTAGTTAGTGTGCTGTACAAAAAAGAAGTTAAATGCAGAAACAGGTACAGTTTTCTGTCACGATTTCAGTGAAAACTTTAAGAGCAAATCACACTGACCAATGATTGCTGTTTTTCCCGATCATTTAAAATGGACTTAAAGGGACAGTGTGTAGGATTTAGGTAGCATCTAGCGGTGTGGTTGCAGATTGCAATGCAATGAATACCCCTCCGCTCACTCCCCCCTATCCAAGACTGAGAAAACGTGAGTCGGCGAGTAAAAAAAAAAACGCAGTAATGCAGGAGGGAGAAACAGTATTTTTTATTTATTTTTTTAAAGAAACTAAATTTTAGTTTCAGCCCGGATTAGATTGACAACTTCTGACCTGAATACTTCTATGTTGTGACCTTTTCAATTTCAAACCCTCGAGCAGTTGAGGAAGATTAGACGTTAACTTTTTGACATTTTAAAAATAAATCCTGAACAATAGCATCCATTGACCGGCCCAGAGTTTTAAAAAGTGCATGCTGCATCGACATAACCGTAAACCTAAAGATGCAGTTCAGCATATTAGTAATGTTCTTGATTGTAACGCTCTGCTTTGTGTAGATTCAGTTAGAATGTACTGAAGATGCATCCATGCTGGTGAGAGAAGGGAAGGATACAAAGTGTTTTGTATGCCTTGAAAGACGTATTATTACCATTCGGTATTTTTGCTTTTTTTTCCTCTTATCATGGATTTGTGGAACCATAAACTGTATGTATTTAAAAAGAAGCTGTTTCTTGTCTTTTTGCAGAGGTTTCCCAGTCTGTGAGAATCCCTGTGCTGATAGGTTCTGGAGTGACCTACGACAACATCGAACGCTACCTCGATGCGCATGGAATGATCGTCGGTTCTCATTTCAAGGAGGGCGGCCACTGGGCCAACGCAGTCGACCCGGAGCAAGTGAAGAGGTTCATGGGAAAGATACGTGACCTGCGACAATGAGAGAGAATATTTTCTGCCTTAAACATGTTTTATTGTACCTGTACTACCACTGTGCGTAGTGCCACATTAAACACATACAGCCATCTTAAGAAAACAAGATTTTAATCATTTTTTTTGTACATTTTTATAAATATACGCAAATAGAAAAGCATAATTTTCAACTGTATTTACATTCAAAAAACAATATGTGTGACATGAATAAAATGAGAACCCACCCGCTCGAAAGAACAAAATGGTAGACTCAATGCAAAACAGTGGTTTTGTAATTATTCCTGAAGCAGAGTCAAACAAAAGGAGCAAAATCACAGATGTTTTTTCACACGACATGAATACTGTACACACTACTGTACTGTACACTGTATGAAATTCAATTTTAACACACTCACATTCACAAGAATGTCTAAAGCTAAGGCACATAATATAAAACATACTGAATACGACCAACCAGTCAAAAAGATGCTGTAATCCAACTGCATCATACTTTTTTAAATTCATATAGAGCAAAGTATTGTTTGAAGTTTTCATATTTTTGTATCAGTGTCACACGGTAATTTAGGAGATTAAGATTCATTGTTCTCAGCGGTTTCGGACGTGAGAGATGCAATGCAGGTTGCCTCTATTAAAATCAAAAACAACAACTTGCTGTGGATCAGTTATTCGATCGTTTCATCGAACAGGAAGTGGTTTGCCTCGGTGGATGTGCAGAATTAACTGTGAGGTGAAACAATAGCGAGAAAGACCTGAGTGATTCAGAGTCAAGGCACCGTGCTGCAACTTGAAACGCACACCCTCTCACAAGCAGTTGCGTCGCTCCTGTGTTTAGTAGTTGCAGAGGCGTTGGCAGGGCTTCTTGAAGTGGCCGTAGCGTCTCTCTGCCGGGGAGAAACGCGCCTTGGCCAGGTTCTGCCTGTGGAGGGCGCTGCGGCCCAGCTTCTTCTGCTCGGCCTGGGTCCTGGCCCTCTGGACCGCCAGCAGCTGGACGTTGCAGGGCAGCGGGATTCCCCAGGCAGCCAGACGCCAGGATACGTGCCGCCTCACTGCCACCAGCCTGGACAGACACAGCGGAAGTGTTACAGTGTGTGTTCATGAAATATTAGGTGCAACATGAGAGAGATGAAAGTATTACTGCAAGCCAGCTCTGCGTGAAAACCAGGCGGCAACCTCCGGTTCACCCAAGTGAAGCCAATGCAGAAGTGTCTTAAACTTTCATTCTCTCTACTGACCAGCAGAGGGCGACTCCTCTGGTTGCAAAAATAAGTCTGATTGCATAGAAGTCTAAGAGAAAATGACTCTACTTCTCACTTGATTTATTACCTCCGTGAACATCGTAAACATGAGTTTATGGTCTCTGTCTCTACTTTCAAGTCTTCTTCAATACAGCATGATGTTCATTTAGTAAATGATGGTCCATTTAGAGTCAAATAAACTCATAAAGCAGTATGCTTTTAAGAGAAGGATGGCATGCAGGCGCTGGGACTATTAAGACATCGAGGTATAAAACAGACGAGTAAGCTCAATGGAGACTAACCTGGCGGTGTCCTCCTCTTCTTCTTCTTCGTCTTCCTCAGAGTCCAGCTTCTCCTCCGCTCTGCCCGCCCTGCATCTCATCTGGTAGATGGACATGCTGGGGTGCTCGATCAGCAGGTTCTCCAGGGGATCCACCTCGGAGGCCGTCAGCAGCCCGTTCTCTGTACAAACCACACGCTAGTTCAAACATCTGTTTTCATCCCAGTAGAAGCTGCAGCCTCACTGAGCCGAGGACACATTTAAATCCTACAGATGTGAATAAAGCACTGTGTTGCACTGTCTATTTATCACCTGGGAGATCAACAATGACCCATCCTCCCTCCTCAAACTCCATCAGCTCCTTGGAAGTGTCATCCGCTGCCTCAAAGTCCTCACCAGTGTTCCAGAGCAGATGAGAAAGAAGCTTACCGATCATCCTTGTGCCTCTATTGCAATCTGAAAAAAATGAACAACAGGTAGGCAGGTGAATCACAAGAAATGCACCAAAGACATTAGCAATGCAAGTGCTCCCCCTTGAGGCGGTCCCAATAACGACCCGTCTTCCGTGGACACCTGCCTGCTCAGCATCAACGACAGCTTCCACTGCGCCAAGCTCGGAAACCTGAGTGGCCCGAGTTGTTTACGTCGCTATGACGCCCAGTGAGGGGGTCAGTTTAGAGCTGAAACAGCTGTGGGAACAGGGGCTTAAATTACACCGATCGCTGCCATATTAGAGGAAGTCACTTTGACCCTCACACTGCAGCTGACTGACCTTTTGTCCCAAACGGATGACCCTGTAGCTCCCTGCTCCAGCATTATGTAACATTTGTTTTTATTTTAGTCCCTGGTACAGGTTGCCATCATGCCATTTGTTGGGCAAAGATATTTTAGTCTCTTTTAAATATCACTTATTGCTATTGTGAGGCAGCATTTCATCCTGTGAGAAATATAACTGTCACACTAAGAGAAGAAGTAGACAAAGTAGTGATCGTGAGTTAATGACATCATCCTTTTTATCTAATATAGTGTGTGAAGGTGTAATGTTTACTTGTCAAACCCTTGTCAGCTGATCGTAAAGGAATGTCCCATGCAGACAGCAGGAGACCTGCGTTTCCTCATCTGTTTAAAGTACCCTCGGGTATATCACAAAATAAATATTATGGCCATAATTATTAGTACGAGACAAAACACAGATTCATGAAATCGAGTGGTGTTTTCCCCCCTTACCGGCTGCTTGTCAACACCAGACGTCTCCCTGTAAACAGACATAATCCCCCAGCAGCAGGCCAATAATAACCTGATATCCACAGAGCGAAACAGCTGACCGCCTGCTCAGATATACTGTATGTGCGTTATTTCATGTAATCACAGTTGCTCGCATCGGGTGAGTTTTATGGAGTGGAAAAGGTACCATTAGTACTGCTATTTACATACACCAACACATCACACCAAACGCATCACACAGCCACGGAGGTTTGTACTGTACTTATATGACAAAAGACAAATTAAACACAGTTCTCCTAACAGTCCGGTAAATGCTCAGAGATGTACATTTTTACTTACTTCACTTAAAATAGACGTATGCTTGTCTTCGGGTGTGGCCGTCGCGCAGAGAGGATCCCGCTATGTTGCTGTTCTTCAGATTGTTTTGATGTCAAAGTTGTTTATCGGCGAGAGTCCTCACCGCGTCCTGAAACGTCATCAAATCCCGCCCAAATGAGGCGGGGCGGGCGCGCGTCACATATCTACGAACCAACCCGCTCTCTCCTCTGCGTCACGGATGTAATATAGAAGTGACATTTGAAACGTCAATGTCGACAGAAATATTACGTTTTGTTTTTCATGTGCTATCCTTCTTATGTCTATGGTTTTATACACATTTTCATGTTCACGGTCTTCTCGAACTGTAACAGTGGAACAGTAACCGACCGAGAATGATGTACAACAAGTGTTATCTAATGTGGACTAATAGTTTCAAAACCTCCGTTCATTGCTGTAAAACTGGACAGTAACCATTCCCATAAATTAAAAACTTATTTAGTATGTATTAGTGTAAGTGAATTAGCGAATGGGCTATGGACAAAGTAAGTAAGTAAGTGACAAAATAAGGACAAGCTAGCTAATTTATCTTCAAAGAGTTTGAAGACCCTCCAGTTCTAGATAATTCACCACCAAGCAACCAGCCATTGTTTGTGTAGCGCGCATGCGCAAAATGTGCTAATATAAGACAATCATTCATTTAGTAAGCCCCTTGCCGCAGCTTATTAGTTGGCAAATGTGGAAATACTCTAACTGGACCGGCAGAGAGACGGTGAGAAGCAAAGACATCTGATGTGATATGACACAATGCCAGCGGCCATGCTGTTTTCAATAGCATTCTGATGAAAGGATTCATCTCGCCTCGATTGTCTGTTATATACTCTCTGGTAGCTTTTTGTAAAGCAGGAAGTGGGGTGGAGGCACAAAGAGTGCAGTAACAGCGAATAAGTTTGGTGACAGCGCATTTTGTTCAAAGCCGAATGCTCGCAAATAGCAAAAACTACCACTTCACAGCACATTCAGGACGGGACTGAAGGTATTTGTAACAATTAGACAATTCTTGAGGGAAAGGTGGTGTCAGCCGTCTTCTACCTCGTGTCTCTGCTTAAATAGAGACGAAGAAAGCCGAAGGTACTTGAAGAATTATTTTCGGTATTAAAATAGAAACGAAACTTAGGATCTGTTGACTGCATTCAAATCAAACCATAGTCTATTTTCTCCGGTTCAACTAGCGAGCATTAAACCGACGAAACCTCTCGCGCCAAGCTCCGTTCAGAAACCAGCTCATTTTAAACAAATGACGCTACATAACGGTGGATGTTACCGATCATTAATAACGCAAACAGTGTGACTTGAGATATTTTACGAATTAACAGCGGCCACGTTGTCATTAGAGGTACCAGCAGTGTAAAAGCATTACGTCATTTTTGATCAAATCTATATTTGTTCATAGAATTGAAGAGTCATACTATATATTTGAATGCTGTATTTGTTGTTGTCTTGTGGCGTTTATGTGGAACAGGTAGAAGTAAAAGTGAAACCACGTGTATTGTGACAATTCGATCAGATGATTTAACATTCTCTCTCTGTCTGTAGACTACTGCATGAACAATAATATACAGTTTGTATGAATTGCCCAAAGGCCCCCAGGGTCCCTGGATGTCAGTGTGTTTTTGGTCATTTTGTTATTTGCAAATTTGTTGTTGAAATTTGCCACTAAAATAATTTTGAACCCGAAAAATGTGATTTAACAATATCTTACCAATGCAACATAACCTTGTGTATAGTCTGTTTCTATTTAACATAATTATCGTTCATTGGCTTCGTATGTGTTGTTTTATGAGCCTGTGTGTTGCATGTCTTATTAGTACTTGACAATGTAGTATAAGAGTGTCCTATAATGCATAACTTTGTAAATGTAATCTTGTATTATTATTATTAGTGCTGGGCAACGATTACAATTTTTAATCGCATTGTAATGTGCAAAATTCAATAAAGAATTCAAAAGTAGTGTATTGCTCACTTTTACTTTAAAAGTACTGCTATATGAACGGAAGTGCAATAACATTTGTTTTGCAAACACTTGAAACAAATAAGGTGCTTTTTAACAGCAGTATTCCCTTCACACAGTAGCAGTTAAACTATTTCCTGTAAATCTCAACTTAAACATTAATGTAATCAAATATAAAAGCAAAGCTATGTGACACTGCCAGGGCATTAACGCTTTGTCTAGTTTGTTATAGAAAAACAAGAGTCCAGAGCCACCATCATCAGTAGCAGGTGTCCCTGTTGGTGAGATGAAGTACACTGCTGGGATTCACTGTGCAGGGGACCTTTTAGTCTGTTTGTACTGGATTTCCTTTGGAGAATCTCAGTCAAAAAAGGGAAGCTGATCAGTATTGGCTTGGGATGGGCGTCATCATGCGTCTTAACCAATGAGAGCATTTGGGGGGTGTGGATATTAACTGTATTATCCATCTCCCCCCCCCCAAATGCTCTCATTGGTTAAGACGCATGATGACGCCCACCCCAAGCCAATACTGATCAGCTTCCCACCCCTCCTGTGACCCATGGTTTGTCTGTGTATTCAGAGCCAGTGAGCAACGGACTTTCAAAATAATAATAATAATTTTAAAAAAACTGAGTTGATGCGCGATAAAATAATTGTCGGCGTTAATTAATGCCCAGCCCTAATTATTATGTAACATCTGCCTCTTGGGACTACAGATGAAAAATAGCCTCTTGGCTAACTCTGGCGCATTTATTAATGTGCACTGTCCCTAACAAATAGACCAATAAATAAATAAGAAATGTGACTAGATTAGGTTTGGTAGACACTGTACCGTCTTATCCGTGTGAATACTCTGCTCAGAAAACTCATTCTGTGCCGCAGCTGTGGGGCCAATTTTGGTCTAAAGGTTCAAAGATGGGTCTTTCTTCTTTAGGCAACACCAAAGTAGAGTCGACTGTCCTCCATGAGTGTCTCAACGCAGGGATGGCTCCACGAATGGATGACGTCATGCGTCTGTGCTGCGAAATATCGGCCCACGATGAGATCAAGGTGGCAGTGAAAAACTCCACCAAAGGAGCGCTGGTGGCAGGAGGAACCGCTTTTGTAGGCGGACTGCTCGGTGGACCTCCAGGGATTGCTGTTGGTAAGAATAAATACTCTACAAACAAAATGTACCGTTATCAACAGCTGCCTGATTAAAGGTCCAAATGTAGCCAACACTGACAGAGGGTTGCTTTGAGATTGTTGGGTCCCACACCTCTTGAGTCGGCCTTCATTCACAGATGAGGACAAATCTAAGTGAGGACACCTTGTAGAGGTGAGAGTGAACCAGACATGACATTTAAAAGAAGGAAGACAAAAAGGAGCTACTCCACCCTCGTACCCCAGAACAGTGTCCTCTGTGACCCTGTAACTGACCCTTTACCCCCTCCCTCCCTCCTCTGTGTGTCTACCAGGCGGCGCAGTGGGCGGTCTCTTGGGCAGCTGGCTGACCAGCGGACAGTTCCGGCCTCTGCCTCAGATCCTGATGGAGTTGCCTCCCGCCCAGCAACAGCAGCTCTACGATCAAGTCACGGCCGTCCTGAACAACCTGGACTGGATGGACGCGGCCCAGCTCATCGCCCTGGTGATGGGCAACGCCACGCTGCAGCAGCAGGTCACCACCGCGCTGCTAAACTACGTCACCAAGGAGCTCCGATCGGAAGTGCGCTATAAGGACTGAGTTCTGATTACACGTGGACTTTTCAGGGCCGTCGGGCCTGACGAGCACAACCATAGTCCTCACCACTTATCTTTGTACTTATTGGAAAAGAAACTGTGAATCACGGCTGTTTCACCTTGAGGTCTGTGCCAGATGGAGCAGTTAGCTCTGCTGTCTTCAAAGTGTCCATCCTCACTACAGTGGTGAAATGTTCTCAAGTGCTGTATTTAAAAACTATTTGAAGGTAGTACTTGTACTTTACTTGAGTATTTACTTTATACTCTAGTTCAGAGGCAGATATTGTAATTTTCTACTCCACAACATGTATTTTCAGGTTCAAATTATGAATAAATTGAAATCGACCATTAAATTATGAGGTATGATTGTAAAAATAAAGATCTGCTTAAAAGGGTACATAAGTACTTTAATGTCAGTGCTTCACTCATTTTACCTTTTAAAGGATCGGAGTACTTCATCGACCACCGCCCAACAAGAAAGAAATCACTGCATCTGTTACTTAATGAACGGATGGTGACATTGGCACAAATGTTTTGTACGAGAGAACGATGTTGACGTCAACTTTCCTCTGCTTTTTACACATTTATTCTGGATTAGAAGGTAATCTCTTAATTGCCACACTCTATCGGGGTGTTTTTAATACACCTCTGTTTAGGATTTTCTAATCAAATAAACCTTTGAAACTCTGTTAACAGCATTGTTGGATTAGCTGTGTCCTGTCTTTATCAGCAATAGTTCAGAAAACTTCATCACTGTATGTCACTTCTCTCGATTTTCGACATGTGAATCATAGTTGCTTTACAGTCTAGTGTCAGCATTTTGTTCAAACAACACGATTGCGTCATCATAGTAGTCAGGTGGGGGACCTGGAGGGTCCCCTGGAGTGTCATATTCTTCGTCGGTTTGGGGAATCTGTTGGTACATGAGGGACTGTTTAGTTAGTGCAGTGTCTATCAATCGCTGTAGGAGGCCTCTTGTACAAGGTATGAGACAACACCCACAAACGGCGAGGACAGCAACTGCCACAGCTTTTTCACTTGCCGAACCATGATTCCAGCATTCTACCAAAAAGGTCATCAATTCCAGCCTTCTCTGGTAATTTTTCGGACAGTGAAGTTAGGCCTTGCAGTGCTCTCGTCACTGAGCCATCAGGTGCTGTGTTATTAGGTATGAAAGTACAACAAGATGAGCCAAACATTTTGCAGACCCCTCCCTTCTCCGCCAGCAACATGTCTGATGCCATTCAGTTTTGCCAGGCCATCAGACCGGTCTTGTCGAATTGACCATGTAACCCTTCTACCACATCTCTAGTGTAATTGATAAATCTTTGTTGGTTATAGTAGATGTAATTTATCCAATCGACATTTTTATTGATCGTTGCCCCCAGAAAAATATCGATTCAAACCCTGCAGCAATTTGGTTTTGCGCCTTGTATTCATCAGGGACCCCGATGTCGTTTTTGTACACAGACGGACTGAAACTGCCAGATGGCGCTGACCTCTTACTCCTATGGTGGTGGTCTGTATTTAGGAGGGTACGCAGAGAAGTGCCATCCATGGGTAGTGTGTAGAAGGGCATTACCAGCTGTATTAGGGCACAAGTCCCGCTCCATTGCTTAGGGAGTTTAAACAGAAGTCTCTTACCTACACAGAACCACCAGATGTCAGCCCTGGCCAGATTCTGGTTATCAAACCAAGATTTGTCATATCCATCTGTTGTCTCTGTGATGTCACACGTGGTGTTACACCATGGCAGGGTCCCCACGTTAACGCCGTTTCCTGAAACACGTCTAGTGAAACAAGTATTGCTGGCTGCCTATGGCTTGAATACAGGAGGTACCTTGGGCGCAACAACTGGCAACAGATAATGCAGAGAAGTGCAATTTGGGTTGCTAGGCGGTTTGGAGGAGGAGAACAATTGCATGGCACATTTTAAACCTGCGGGGTCTGTATGTGGTGTCAAACAGAATGGAATCGTTCCTAGGGTAGGCCTAGATTGAGAGCAGACTACACAGACAAGTGCATTTGTTCAGCTGAATACATTATCCAGCTAAATATATCATTTTGTTCATTGTAGCCTGTTTCCATCGCTAATGTCTCCTTCAAGGTTGTTACATTCAAACAGGTCACCATTTTTGACTGTGTGGGTGGTTCACCTGGTGTAGATGTGGCAGGAGGAGGAGTTTCAGTACCCTGAATAAATAAATAAATCTGCAGATAGTTATAATAATTATTGTTGATGTATACTTGCGTCTGATGTCCAATGTCATACAAGTTTCTTTCCATCCATTTTTTCCTCTCTTCTATGAGTGTTGAATCCATATTGTGAACTGGTAGTATCCAAGGAGGAACATTTCCCCATATTACATTGGGACCATACTCTAACCCAGTTAAACCCTATTCTTTGGCTATTGCACTGATTGTCCAACCAAACACTTTGCCTTTACTTTGTGTGTATTCCTAGCATTCATACAGCGCATTTGTTGCGGGAAGTTCCTCTCCAGATCCTTTTAACGTCACCCAATATGCCAGAGCTAGTTTTGATCGTCTTAAGCTTAATGGCAGTTCGTCAGCTTCCACCAGAAGTGCGTTGTTTGGGGTATATTTAATTGCACCCATAGTCTTAGAGCTCTGAACTGAATTCTATCTAATGTTTGTAATGTACTCTTGGCAGCTGCTCCATACACCATACATCCATAATCTATACATGGCCCTATAGATATCCATTAGTGACCGTTTATCTGCTCCCCATTCATGTCCAGAAACTGCTCTCATAACATTGAGCACCTTTTTACATTTAGTTTCAATATGCTTAACATGAGTTCTCCACAAACATTTTTCATCAAACCATAAGCCTAAATATTTATACTCTGTCACCCTCTCCATACTTTGTCCATATAATTTAAGATGAGTATTGTTTACATTTCTCTTTCTGGTAAATAGCATGTAGCAAGACTTAGCAACAGACATCTTAAACCCCCAGTCATACGACCACTTTTCAACATTGGTTATAGCCTTTTGAATTCTACTGATCACATGTCTAATATTTTTCCCCTTTTCCATATTGCTCCATCATCAGCATTGAGCAAGGAGCCAATATCTCTGTCAATGTCCATAAAGACGTCATTTATCATAATATTAAATAATATAGGGCTAATAACACTACCTTGAAGGATCCCATTTACTATAGTGAATTCTTCTGACACGGCATCTCCAACTTTTACCTTGAATGATCGACTAGACAAGAAATCCAATATCCAGTTATACATCCTTCCACCAATACCTATTTTATACATTTTAATCAATAGGCCCTCTCTCCACATGGAGTCATATGCTTTCTCTATATCAAAATAGACTATAGCCATAATCTCCTTCATACTTATTGCTTTCTCTGCCTCGTTGCTATCTATCAATGCGTCAAGTGTCGATCTACCTTTACGAAAGCCATTCTGAGATTTATTTAGCAAGCCCCTTTGTTCTATAAAATAAGTTAATCTGCACGTGATGATCTTTTCCATCCACTTGCACAAATGAGATATCAGTGCTATTGGTCTGTAATTGCCAGCATTAGCTCTTTACCAGGTTTACCAAAAGGTAGAATCAAAGCACTCTTCCAGCTGCTTGGCATTACACCTTCCCTCCAAATCATATTAAACAATTTAAGAATATTGTCTCAACATAACGTAGCATAGTTGGTCTTGACCTGGAGCAGTATACCCACTTCCCTCCAACGCTGTTTTCAGCTCCTGTATTGAAAACTCCATATCAAGAGGTGTTCCTTCATTGACCTTTTCTTTTTAACTTCTGTATGTGCTGCTAAAATGTCTTCTTTTCTCTGTCTGTGCCTCTCATGTATGAACTCAGCTATGAACATTTGCAAACTTCTTCCCCAATAATGCAGCTTTCTCCTCATTTGTAATTGCCCGATATTCTCCGTCTATCAAAACTGGGATTTTAATTGATTTTCTTTTCCCACTCGTCTTTTTGATCATTGCCCAAACATCACGTAACTCTATTTCTCTTCCAATAGCTGAACAGAATTGCCTCCATGCATTCCTCTTTGATGACTTAATAACTTTCCGTACTACCGCTCTCTTTCTTTGATAATCGATCAGATTATCTTGAGTCAAAAGGCTTCTTAACTTTCTGAAGGCACGATTTCTTTCTTTAATGGCATTTTTACATTCATCATTCCACCATGGAACCATTTTCTTTTTCCCATTTACCTTACTCTTAGGAATGCATATTGATGCAGCACCAATAATCATAGAGGTCACTACTCTCGAACAGCTGTCCACATTACCCTCAATAGATATTTCTTCACATGACTTCTGACAACATTCTTTAAATTTTCCCCAGTTAGCTTTAAGAAAACACCATCTGTCTATTATATTACCCTTCTGAGTAAAGATACTACAATATAATGAGCACCATATAGGATAGTGATCACTCCCTATATTAGATTCATTCATTGTATTCCATTCTGTTAGAAAAATTCACTCGAGCTGATGTAAAAATCATTAATCACAGGACATGTATTCTTTGCAAAGAAGGAGACAGGGTTGATTCACATACAGAATGTACATCAAGACCGCTCGAAGATCTGTCTCCGAGTCTCTGGTATTTATACTAAGTAAACAACATGCAGTGGGCTGGCACAGGGTAACACACACACATTTTGCGTTTCACACAGGCGTCTACATATCTGGACACTTTATCAATTCGTTCTAGTACAAAGGTCACTTTCTCGTAAATCATGGTCGCAAATCAGCCCTGCGTAAGTATTGACACTTTCTACAAGTTTATTATCATTCTTATTCAGGACAAACAGCTGAAGCGTTCTTTCGGCAATCAACTGCTTCTTAATCGACTAAACATCTGCTGAAGACGCCTGGTGTCCCAGACAGTTCACACAAGGACACAGGCCTTAAACACTACAGAGGACATGAGCTTCTGTTAAATGTATAACATTAATTAATTATTAATGCACAATAATTAGTTATTTAGATTTTTTTCCAACACATTCACACAAATTACTCATATTTCCTGAGACTAAGGTAAGATCTAAGCAGGATACTGAATTTCGAGTAACATCTAACATTTGTGTTGCATGGTGAATCTGGACATTCTCTGATTACACTTGATTTTAATAGTGCTTCAAATATTGGTTTTTGGACACCGACACAAACACTTAAAGGAATCATGGTGTTGACTGGCAGGGAGACTATAAATGGCCTGTTTATGCTGTCTACATATTTGACAGAACATTCCTAAAACCAAAAAGAAAACTGAAATAATGCCCTATTCATTCTCTGTATCTCTATCTATCTAATCCGTCTATTTATTTATGTACGTATTTACTTACCAAGATCAGTCTTGTACAGCCAGGGGGAGTATCCCCTCTGACAGCCAAGCTGGGTCCAAACCTGTTATCTGGTGGTGACTGGACTTTAGCTGCTTGTGTGTGACTGGACTTTAGCAGCACTTGTCTGTAGGCTACTTGGACGCGGAGCAGGAGAGCTACTCCGACTGCTACTCGCAGGACCATGTAGAGACAGAAATTACATGCCGTCGTGTAAATAAGATAAAGCTGTTTAGTTTGTTTAATAAAATAACAAGGAATATACCTATAGGAAAGGGAACCTTAAATGACTTCTGTTGTGATCTGGCGCTATATAAAAAACAAAATTAAC